TTAAATCAATCCACGCGATAAATATCCTATTATTTTGTTTATCTGCAACAATAATATCATTGCATTTGACTGTAGTTTTCATATCAATTATATCGGAATTATTAACATTTGTTTCATTAATTTGTTTGAAAAGTATTTTATATAATCTAGACATATTAATCGAGCATTTATTTAATCTTATTATGTATGAAAATAATTCAATAATAACTAGCGCAATATATTGATAAACATACCACCTAGCATACGTCTGGTATATTTGCTCTGGCTCAGTATCTAGATCAAACTCAATCAATACTTTACTATGGTGATTACGTGGGCATCGGTTATAGCCGTATATTAGTATTAGCATCGAGTTATAATAATATTTGTTTATATTGAAGTCAGTTAAATATTGAAAAATAGGATCTAGACTATTTACTGGAAAAACGTAATTATCATACCCTACCAACACAACTGTTATTAACACTGTTATAAAAAGTGCTAGATTTTGATTATTTGATAATAGGATACCCAGTATTGAAGACAACGCTTGTGTGCACAGAAATGTCATAATAATAAGATATAGTACTTTGTATTTGATGTGTGGTTCGTCCAGAATAACGATATAATATTGGAGTATAAACGCATAAATCACTGCATTTATAATTATAAATATTGAATCGCATATGAATTTAGCCCAGAAATATGGATGGGGATTGTACCAATCTAAAATTATATATATAAATATTAAAATAAAGTTTACTACATTAATAAAAATAACACAATTAATTATTATAATAGTAATGCAAACTAATTTAACATGCATTTGAAATTAATTAAACCAAGATGATTAAACTAAATTACAAATTGACAATTAAAAATGTACATAGGTCAAGCACTCACTGTTATTATTTTCCGATAGTACGGTACGCATATCGGCCCCAAAACTGTTACAAATATTTGACATTATAATCCACTGAAAAATACCATATGAACAATGTATTAATGATTGACATTGAAACAAGATGCTTTTGTCCTCCTCTATCTCAATCCATGTCCGGTTAGACTGTCCGCCGATATGTACGCAACCGTCGACTAAACCGACCTTTTTATTAAAACACATAATAACAGCTAAATTGATGCGGTTTTTATATCGCGGTCAGATATGCGGTCTGTCCAGCGGTCTTCGTGTCGCGGTCAGTTACGCGGCATCCGTAGGACGGTCTGTGTCGCGGTCTCTCTTGGTTTTTGTGTCGCGGTCTTCCCGCGGCCTTTGTCTCCGGTTTCAGGCTAGCGATCTCTTGCTCCAAGTGACTTGCAGTCTGTATCCCGGTCTTTGTCACGCGGCCTCGCAGTCTCTGCCACGCCTTTTGCCGTCTGCCTTGCGGTTACGGTCTTTTGCGCTCGCTCTATCACGCGTTTGAACGTACTCGGACTGTTGTTAAGGCCTAAGGGCGGGACTAACCAATCATAATGTTCTGAATGAGTGACAAATGCTGTCTTCGAGATCTCGGCCGGCTCGACCTCGACGTGCCAATAGCCCCACGCGACGTCCAGTTTACTAATAAACCAAGCGTTGTATTTGTCTCTGTAAATCACGGTTCCGCGGTCATTGTGTCGCGGTTTTTATTGCAGTCATTGCCTCGCGATCACGGGGCGGCGGTCTCTTAATCTCAAAATAGCAGGTTCGTCGTTGTTTGGATGTCCGCCACATCATAATCAGCCCGTAGAATCTCGAGGCCAACGGCCTCGGTGAAAAGGACAAACGCCAGTGGCCTCCGCCTTGCATCGGTCGACAACCCAAAGCTTCGCTGGTCACCCTACTGGCACAAGTTGTCGGCGCCTACAATCGGGCGCTACACTGGTTTCATCCCTCGCTTAATTAACTTAAGTACTATCCAAAACGTATTATTTTTGTATCACTCTCTCACGCATACTCTTACTGTGCAGTTGTGCTAAACGTTTAACACAATAAAAGTGTTTTGAATAAGTCTATCCCCGTATTCTACGCGCTTCGCCCGCCAACCGCTCAATCACTGCTATTATAAATGCATTTATTGTATTCTAAAAACAAAACTTTAATTTAAGAGTTAATTCAATGCCTGAAAACATTGTCCCGCAATCACAACATGTCAATCATTGCGTCCATACATCAGCCAAGCAATGACTTATTTCATATGTTTGATACGGTGTATGTGTTGGCCAAAGGAGGGATGAAACCAGTGTAGCGCCCGATTGTAGGCGCCGACAACTTGTGCCAGTAGGGTGACCAGCGAAGCTTTGGGTTGTCTGTATTCAGGAGTTCCGCAACAATTGAGACAACATCTGAGCGATTGTCACATTGAGTGCAATGAAAATCAAGTGCCGATTGAAGTGTTGATTAAATTGAGTTTCAATGGACTGATGGATACAAATGTGAAAACACTTTGCGATAAAACGCGTGAATTGACTGTCAATACGGAAAATATGACTAAAATTAATAATGGATTTAAATTTATTGAAAAGAAATTTAAAGCAATTGACTTCATATACCTATTGATGAGATTTATACACAGAAATTATGTCAATAATTATGCCACTTTATTGAAACAGCTATTATTATTTACCATGGTCAATTTAGCTGTTATTATGTCAAAATTATTTTTCCAGCCAAATCAGCTGCCAACGCATGTATAGCCGCCTGTCAGATTGGCCTGTACCTAACTCTATCTCCTCCTGTTTTCGTAGAACAAAGTTAGCCAATCATTAATACATTGTTCGTATGGTATTTTCCAGTGGATTATAATGTCAAACATTTGTAACAGTTTTGGGGCCGATATGCGTACTGTACTATCGGAAAATAATAACAGTGAGTGCTTGACCTATGTACATTTTTAATAGTCAATTTGTGATCTAGTTTAAACATCTTGGTTTAATTAATTTTAAATGCATGTTAAATTAGTTTGCATTACATTTTTTATTTAATATGATAGTTAATTATTATTATAGTTAATTGTATTATTTTTATTAATGTAGTAAACTTTGATAATTTAGATTGGTACAATCCGCATCCATATTTCTGGGCTAAATTTATATGCGATTCAATATTTATAATTATAAATGCAGTGATTTATGCGTTTATACTCCAATATTATATCGTTATTCTGGACGAACCACACATCAAATACAAAGTACTATATCTTATTGTTATGACATTTCTGTGCACTCAAGCGTTGTCTTCAATACTGGGTATCCTATTATCCAATAATCAAAATCTAGCACTTTTTATAACAGTGTTAATAATAGTTGTGTTGGTAGGGTATGATAATTATGTTTTTCCAGTAAATAGTCTAGATCCTATTTTTCAATATTTGACTGACTTCAATATAAACAAGTATTACTATAACTCGATGTTAATACTAATATACGGCTATAACCGATGCCCACGTGATCATGATAGTAAAGTATTGATTGAGTTTGATCTAGATACTGAGCCAGAGCAAATATACCAGACGTACGCTAGGTGGTATATTTATCAATATATTGCGCTGGTTATTATTGAACTAATTTCATACATAATTAGATTAAATAAATGTTCAATAAATATGTCTAGTTTATATAAAATATTTTTTAAACAAATTAATGAAATTACTGTTAATAATTCCGATATAATTAATATGAATACTTCAGTCAAATGCAATGATATTACTGTTGCTGATAAACAAAATAATGCAATATTTATTGCATGGATTGATGTAACGTATTCTGTCAAAAAATCAGTGTTTAACAGCACAACAAAAATCATACTAGATAATATTAGTGGTTGTGTACGTGTGAATACATTGAACGCATTGATGGGACCGTCGGGTGCGGGAAAGACAACACTATTAAAGTGTTTGAACGGCCAGAATAATAGAGGTCTTAGCGACGGGTCAATGATTTATTCAATTAATAACCGTAACATTAGATCTTGTTTTATAAAATCAAATGTTTGGGAACACCTGTTGTCGGGACTGACTGTACGACAGACACTGTTATACGCGTCGAGACTCAAGAACTCGCGGATAACGAGTCAATTAAATGACAATAAAATTGTTTGTGATTTGATGTCAGAACTGGTGATCAGCGATACGGCAGACAATAGGGTCGAGACGTGTAGTGGAGGCGAACAAAAACGTATAGTAATTGCCTGTGAATTGACTTCTCATATAAAGCCTAATATGTTATGTATTGACGAACCGACGAGTGGTTTGGATAGCAATGCCGCCGAAGTGGTCAGTCATCAAAATATTAAGATTGCATTACATTTATAATTTTGTTATTATTTTTCAGATAATAAATTGTTTGAGCGATTTATTGCAAAGACATGGGATGACAATCATTGCGTCCATACATCAGCCAAACAATGATTTGTTTCATATGTTTGATACGGTGTATGTGTTGGCCAAAGGAGGGGTTTGTCTGTATTCAGGAGTTCCACACCATTTGCGACAGCATCTCAAAGACAACGGCATTGAATGTATTGAAAATCATGTGCCGATTGAAGTGCTGTTAAAAATTGCATCAAAAGAGATATCAAATAAAAACAATAACAATATTGAAGAGAAACCAATAGTTAATAACAATGGCGTGAATTGCGATCAAATACTAGTGTCAAACATGCGGCCAGTGTTTGGTTCGTTGAGTACATCAAAGCGATTCAGTTTTGCGGACATGTATTACCTGTTGTGCCGATCACTGATCCATACATTCCGGTGCCAATGGGTATCCCTTTTGGTACAATTTGCCATGATGCAAACGGCCGCTTTGCTTATGGTATATAATTCCAGTTCGGATATGACTGAACCCGACGGGTGCGTTGATATGGGTGCTGGGTTTGACTCCGTCCAGACTATTGACCTGATTATTTATTGCAAAGACATGGGATGACAATCATTGCGTCCATACATCAGCCAAACAATGATTTGTTTCATATGTTTGATACGGTGTATGTGTTGGCCAAAGGAGGGGTTTGTCTGTATTCAGGAGTTCCACACCATTTGCGACAACATCTCAAAGACAACGGCATTGAATGTATTGAAAATCATGTGCCGATTGAAGTGCTGTTAAAAATTGCATCAAAAAAGATATCAAATAAAAACAATAATAATATTGAAGAAAAACCAATAAGTAATAACAATGGCGTGAATTGCGATCAAATAATACTGTCAAACATGCGGTCAGTGTTTGGTTCGTTGAGTATATCAAAGAGATTCAGTTTTGTGGACATGTATTACCTGTTGTGCCGATCGCTGACCCATACATTCCGGTGCCAATGGGTATCACTGTTGGTACAATTTGCCATGATGCAAACGGCCGCTTTGCTTATGGTATATAATTCCAGTTCGGATATGACTGAACCCGACGGGTGCGTTGATATGGGTGCTGGGTTTGACTCCGTCCAGACTATTGACCTGATTTACAATTTGCCATGATGCAAACGGCCGCTTTGCTTATGGTATATAATTCCAGTTCGGATATGACTGAACCCGACGGGTGCGTTGATATGGGTGCTGGGTTTGACTCCGTCCAGACTATTGACCTGATCCGTAACGAAGCGTTGATCAAGCTCAATATTAAATACAATATTTGTTTATTAATGTCTGTGTCGTATATTGTGGTGATCGTAATGTCGGCCACTTTTGGCCAAGATTTTCGTATATTCCGGTGTCAACAACAAAACGGTATACAATTTATTATTACAATATTGTTACCATGATTGAGATTATTTATTTTTTATGTAACTTTATTACCATAGGCTGGTACAGCACCGGTGTATATCTTTGGTGCCGTACGATCGTAGACCTGATACCAATTTTTATCGCTTTACCCCTGTTTTGTTGGATCACAAACCTATACAATACGATCACATTCTATGGGTTTTCGTTTGCGCTTAATTTACTGGTCGTATTGTGTACTCAAAGTGTGGCCCAATTATCGGCCCTAATGTTTATAAATGACCGTAAAGTTGCTCTGAGTTTAGCCATATTAATTCAAACTATGATTATACTGCTGGGCAACAATATCATCCCGGTCAAAGAGTTGCATTACACGTTACAATGGTTGAGTAGTTTGTCCTATTGTCGAGTGTCGTACGAGTGCATAATGATCATGATATACGGCTTCGACCGGTGTCAGGCCGATCACGTGTCTACCGTACTGTACGTTCTCGGAATTGACGATGATCAGTTTTGGCCAAATATATTCCAATTGGTCTATATCTGTGTTTTGCTCAAATTGTTGGTTTTTGTGTGCATTTTTGCTAAAATGAATCAATTTCACCGAACGGACAGCAACACCGCAAATGATGCACGTCATATTAAATCAGTAAATGTTCACAAAAATACTACAGATTTTACTGTATTTTGAACTTTTTTGAATTTTTTGTATTTTCTTACTTTTTAGTAATTAAATGTTATAATTGAACAAGTATGTTTACTTTTTTATATATTTTCATTTCATTTATCGTATTTAATATATCATTAAATGTTCAAAACATTAAAATAAAACACAATAATTATTAAACAGATATTTATGAACTATTTTTTCATATTTTGTGTTGTGGCAAAAATAATTAGTGAATTAACAATATTGCAGTATAAATGCATAGATCAATGCTTGTGTTATTATAAACACCATTTTTACCTTGTAACTTTTATCGGTTATAAATGCAAACACTGCACTCGGATCAAAATATGTTTTGGACAA